ATTTTTAACATTCAAAAGTATGTAGAATAGCTGGTTTTTTTTTGGTTTTTTTTGTGATCCTTAAAGATACATAAGTAGCATAAACACTGAGTAGAAACTTGAATTGCCAAAAATCAATTGATATGTTGCAATATCAACTTTTTATTTATCGGGATTATTGCTTTAAACATAATGCACAGTGGACTAAGTGGTGATTAAAGTTCTAATACAAATAAATGTGTAAATTGTCTTTATCATTTTGTTGTTGCACTACTGGAAATCTTACAATAATAATGAATACAAAAAAACTGCATACAATATTTGAAAAGAGCACTATCATTTATGATGAAGGGTCTTTTTTTTTTAGTCTTCAATATTTTGAAAACCTAAAAGTACAGCAAGAGTACAACCTGGTTACATAGAGTTTAAATGAAACAAGGAAACTATCACATTGAATGAATTTGTTGTGAATATGCTAGACTGTACAAATTCATATTGAAAAGCATTGTGTTTGAATTGGAGTTCTTGAAAATAAGACAAGCCAACATACCATTTGCCTACAAGACGTGCTTCAACTATGCTCCCATTTGTCAAAGCAGTCATAACAGAGACTCCCTCCGTTGAGCAGAGGTTAATAGACTTCTCAATTCCCGCTCCTCGGATCCTGTCCCGCCCCGGTGTGACATGGAGACGTGCTGTGTCACATTTGTTCTTGCACCGCTAAGCTAACAGCACACGCCTGATCCGTAACACTGACAATCCCCATTGTAAAACACTAATTAGCCCTGATCCTGACGAGGGTTCATTTTCTAGTTAACACCAGCCCCACGTTCCCACAACATCGACTAAATTTGGGGAAAATTTGGGTCGGAAACCTGCGACACGAGCTACTGTATGCAGTGAAGGGTGGTGTAGTGTGCAGGTGGCTTATTTGCTTATTCATATGTGCGTATGGAAATGAAGACGGAGAGAGGGACTGAGGTTGATTGTTATTGCTGGCATGAATTTGAGCCAAAACCTTCATCTGTTGACATGGTTTCTGCCAGCTCTGTCCATGGATATTTGTTCCTTCACATTTTCCCTGCACTACCAGGTGGAGTTTGTTTACAGCATAACTTTCTGCCCCATATGTACATAAAAAAAATATATATACTATGAGTAAGGGATTTATAGGCAACAGGTTGAGTGGATGATTTTGGGGCCTGCTGGTTGATCCTTGAGGATAGAAGAAAATAACATTCTACTTGGAATGATTTGATTTGTTTTAATTGTAGTTTTCAATAATCACAATCTACCACTCTTGAAAAAGTGTTGTATTTATCAACACATAGACATTAGGTGTATTTCTATACTGGATGTGTTCTTACAATTAGGCCATTTTACAAATATAGTGAGAGGTGAAATTACCAAGATCCTTGGAAGACAACATGACAGCACAAATAGCACACATTAAACAGCCATCTCATATTTATGCTTTTAAGACAATGGTGGCTATAATAAGACTCAGAAATGGAGATAATTGCTGCTTGATATATTGCGTTCCATCTGAGCAGCAGTTCAGGAGTAGAAACGCAGTGTTTGTCTTTGCCTCCGAGTGCTCATAAATTCATTTCACAGAGCAGCCTCTAGCTTAATGGGTGATAAGCTGCTACTACTTATGTCTAAGAGCTTCCTATTTCTGTCTAAGATACATGCTGTGCACCCCTCACTATTAAGTCTTAAAGAAAAGGGACTAATGATCACACAATAATCACAGAACTCGGCTGAGAACAAATTAGTCCAATGCTCACAGAAAGTACTTTTTTACTATTTTATTTTTACTTTACTGTGCCATTTCAGACATGTAATATGTTGACATGGTTTTGTCAATGTTTTTGTACCATCTCACTGCAGTCAAGCAAGTGACAGAATCCTATATACTGTAAGTTGTTCTCCTGAAAACACAATCATATTAATTTCATTCAAAACACAATTATCTTAAGTAAATACAACAATAACAATCGTCCTCATATTCTACAATAACAATTCCCCCTGACCAGTGGTTAGGTTTTGGTTAAATCCAAACATATCTATGCTGAATAGTGCTGAATAGAAGTAATCCTTTGGTAAAAATAAATGATGCAAAACAAAAGATATGTTAAACATGAGCCTGTAACAGTTGTATATGTACAGCCTAAAAAAACTTTTAACCAAAACATAAAAGTCTATTGATAGCAATGCATCAAACTTATATAGCGCTTATTTGGACACTCAAAGCTACTTTACAAAAAAAAAAACAAGACAGAATTAGGAAAAAAAATTGTGAGCGTGAAATTGGCACATGTAAAGCAGTGACAGGAGTGGCTCTTTCTGGACTGTGTCACCTCGTGTGTCCCACAGTGCACCGACATGAGCGGATAATTTAGGTGCGGTGTCGAGGATGATGGATGTCTTTGTGGGTTTGTCAGCTTCTGTTATATCTCCTAATAAAAGATCAAACTCACAGTGAGCGCTTGACAGTCCTCCACAGACCAAATAAAATCAGTCTCACTCCAAACTGCATCTGCCCAGGTCATGAAGCGTGGTTAAACAGCATGCAAAGTGGATATTGATTTTTCTGGGAGATGTTTAGCCTTGTCATCGTGCTTAAACCGAGTTTCAAAATGCCTAGGGGTTCCTACTTCCAAGCAGCTTTTCTAACTCTTGCTGTTAACCCATTGTAATACGAGCAAAGCTGATCAGTTCTGCTGAATTTAGAAGAACAATGCATAAAGACAACATAGTGAGTGAAGAGTATATTATGTTGCCAAATATTCCTTTATGGACGTGTTCAGACAGCGATACAAACCTATCTGTGACTCATAAAGGGGGGGGGGGCTCTTTCTTTTCCAACAAAAAGGTAAAAGTATAAATGTATTTATCAAACTTAAGGTTTGCGTGATGTGTTTTAACGTATGCTCTAAAGATTACATCAATCTTTTATTACGATAACCAGCAGTAGTAATATCATTACTATTATGGAATATAAAATATTGTGTTCACTTCACTCGTTTCTACAGCCTTTTCAACAGTTGTTGCAGTTTTCCCATTGCAGTTATGTACTGTGGCGACCCACTGACATTCATGTGGTTTAGAGGCTATTAGCAAACGCATTAACACTGACAGACTGGCTGTAAAGAGACTTAAATACACTTATGTCCAGCTATGTTTATGACTATATAAGGTATTAGGTACCACATTTATCATAAGCCCCGAGTGGACTGTAGAATAATGCATTTTAATATGCAACTAATGTAGACACCCATTTTGACTATTGGTTTAAAACTAATTAGAGATGCACCGGTACCACTTTTTTCAAAACCAATACAACAACAAAGGCCAAAACATGCATGTGAAAGCTAGGAAAGAGTAGCTTGGATTTTATTTATTTATGGTTAACTGTGATTTCAAAGTAAGGTACTTATTAAGAGAACTATTTGGTGTTTTTACATTAAGTATTTTTTGCCCCAAGTAAACCAGAATTGGTCCAGTTACAGTGAGCCAGACCAACAGCTACACACACATCAATAAGCTCCCTCTGTCAGTCTCTTGCCCCTGAAACCTAGTCTCGTTGTTCCAGTCTCATGGAAATCTGAACAGTAATTGCCCCGATGGGTGTTTCTAATAAGACACAGAATACATGTTGACCAGTGCAAATTATCCCCCTCCAAACAATTGATTCCTGACACGACAACTGTCCCTTTGTTCATGGTTTCGAGGTTAGCTGGTGAAATGCTACGTCAAATTATGCCATGACAGCCAACATGATTAAAGTCCAACTGAAAGTGTTTTCACCAAGCCCAAGAGACCCTACTGGAAAATCTATTGATTGACAGTACTGGCAAAGCAATTCATGCCTGGAATGTTTCTCTGATGCTCTTTTGTCATATATAATGTGTTCTGATTTTGTTACTGAATTTTGAAGTCAGGGCTTGATGGAGCATTGAAGAAGGTCAAATTATATAGCTGATAACCAGAATTCAATTGGGTATGTGTATGATATCGCGGCATGAGAAACAACACTAAACACATTTTCTTTACTTTAGATTTGCATTTTAGTAGTCTTGGTTGAAAGTTTGCTGTTGTATAATTCCAGTGGGTTTTTAGAAATGGTATTAAAGAGAAGCTGGGGTACCTAACAGTTTTTTTTTTTTCTCCATACATAATGCATGTTGTTAGTCCCAACAGAAAGAATGTTGTAAAAGTAAATATTTGTCGACAAATTTGACCACAACATACTGTCTTTATATTTTTATTATATTTTGCATATTTATGAAAGTGCCATTTAGAGTCACAACTTGACGCTTTCGGCTGAGAACTGATTAACTGAGTTAGGGTGGTCCTCTCATGTTCACTTGTATCTGAAAAAGCGGTTATCGAGATGTGTCAGAAGCCAAAATTACATGCATATGAAAACTAGTAATAGTACTGTTCTGTTTAAGAACAAGGAACTAGTTAGATGCATATTCTTACATAGTTAAGTATAAATAAGTCCGTCTTTATTTTTTACACAACATGTCACAGCTTTTATTATTTGGCTATGTCTCTCCCATCAAACACCCAGTGCACTTTGGGCTTGTGTTTGCCGTTATCCATTGGCTGCTGCTCTCCTGGCTGTGTCTAACAGCAGCACACTCCTCTGCAGTGGCTGTCTGCCTCCCTGATTTGCTCTTCACACTGGGAGAATTTGCATAGGCTGGCCCCTTTCTCCACTTCTCCCCACCCCCTTTGCCGTTTTGATCCCCTCCCCATCCCATCATGTTTGCTTAGTTTCACCTGCGCCCACTCTCCATCCTCTCTCGGCTGTGCGCTCTCTCTCTTTTCTCATCCACCTCTCATCTTTTTCTTCTCCTCCTTATCTATCAGACACTGAATCTGTTTTCAAATCTTGATTGAAGCTTTTCCATCTTCCTTTGGAGTCAAGTTAAAAAGACAGACCGTCAGACTTTTGATGTGAAAGAAAAAGCGATAAAAACTGGACAAAAAGTCAGTGAGTCAAAGATTCAGTCATAAAAAAGCCTAGCTGAGGGAATGTATGGAGGGTCGTCTTGCCTGAGCCAGATCACCCCGGGGATGGTGGTGCGCTTGCAGACGGAGCTCTGACAGTTAGCGGCGGAGTCCGTTTCTCCTCTCTCTCTCTCCCTGCATCCCTCCCCTCTGAGCTCTATAGACCAGGCTGCGTGGATCTTTGCAGAGCGCGTGCAGAGGAGCGCAGAGAGCACGAGGAGGCTGTTTCTGTTCATCAGCCTCTCCTCCGACGCAGGTGAAGAGAAGACGGGAACGTGTGAGGAGCAGGTGGAACGGGCGCACAGCGGAGACATCCACGGATCGGCTCTGACCCTATTAGATCGCTGTTCAGAAGAGTTGAAAGATTGACGGAGATTTCAACCAGTGGAGTCCAGTTTGAAAAGAATTGGTGGATTTTATTGAGGGAAAAAGCTGTTGTTTTTGTGCTTGCATGCTATGGAGTTTGTGTTGGATCACTTCTTTTGAGATTCCTGCCTCTTTGCCTTACTTGACGTGAGTACCGTGGGGGGCGCGAGACATGCTCCCCAAAGGAAAGCCAGCGGAGGGACAGCTCTTGTGCATGTGGCGTCTCGGAGCGCTGTTGGGATGGATGTGTCTGGGGTCCACTCAGGGCTCGTCAGCTTCATCGGACCTCCAAATCCTCTCGCCCATCCAGGGATCGCCCACCCTGCCCCATACCTTGCCCCGACCTGAGCACCTGCATAATCCCCAAGGGCCAAAGCATCACCCGCCACTTGTATCTGTACATCGTTCGCCAGCCTCTCTCCGCTCTGGCCATGGTGAGTCCCAAAGCACCCCTGCCTTTGTGTCCATTTGTCATTTACCACTCCTTCTCCCGGAAATGGCCACCCCTCCCATCATTGTGTAGTCACTGAACAGCTGAATTGCAGAACGGCATAGCTCATCAAAGCCCTAAATACTGTATTTCTCACTTTCTCAACATCTTTGAGTAGTGTGCTCCAACGGTTGGAATTTGCAATCGGATATAGTAAAGCTGCATTTTGTTGGTGTTTGGCAAAGTTTACATATCACAAGCTACTCATAAAATGTGTTTTCATAAAATGTGGTCAAATTGAAAGTCAAGAAAAGTATATGAGTATTATCTCATTCACTCTTGTGCATCTGGTCTCCATATGTGGATTGACGTAATGCTCCACTCAGGGCTCTGTTTCGAGATATTCCACTTACCTTTTCTCAACTTTATATGCTGTGAAAAACAGGCATGCCTTTTCCTTTTCAATCAACTTTATATGCAACTGCAATATGTCCATCTTCAACCAGACCATGCAACCAGACAAAAGCCATGAATCTACCCATGTTGGACTTCGACTTGCCTGTTCCAGCTCTGGCCTTCATCGGCACATGGCTAACCAGAGCTGACAGACAGTTCTGCATCAGGAGTTGTTCGTCCTTTATGAGATTAGAGCTTTAATTGTCAGTGAAAGACTATGACAAGCTCAACACCCACTGTGACTTCATCAATTCACAACAACGCATAGTTAATTCTTCCTCTGCTTCCTCAATGTCAATCTTCGGAAAACTTGTACGAAAATGATTGCCTTCTAAGGATACATGCACTCTTGCCACATCATTATTGGGACTGGGAATCTGGAGGGGCCTAGAAAGTATGTTTGAAGGAACTTGACTTAATTTTCAGCACTACACTTGTTTTACAGATGCTTTTCTTTGCTGTACACACCCTGTAGTGAGAAGTATAGCCTCAGCCTTCACAGTATTGACTTTTGTTTTATAGGTGCTTAATGTGATCTATTTGACCCATTAGCAGCTACACAGACATCAGGCAAAGAAAGTGTCTGTTGTGGTCAAGTCGGGGTACACTTTGCCAAGCTTTTTAAACCTAGTGTTCCATCATAAAGAGCTTTTTAATTGTCCTGTTTATAGCATATGCTTTAAATATTAATGTAGTCTACTGTTCATTATGACCATAATAGTGTTAGCGGAAGCTCGTAAATAGCCTTTACAGTCTAGACATAAGGCAGTTGGCAACATTTTGTATGGGCCCTTAACCAATGCATTTCTTTACTCGTGTAGGGATCCACCATGAGCGTTCAACATTTCAAATTACAATTCCATTCAGAAATAAGCCACTACAAGCCAACACATCTTTGGACCGTAGAGGAATTCATATCAAATATGGAATATCTAAATAAGAGATTTCATAACTGCCTCTCTGCACCCCTACTTTTCATTGACATGCACAACAGATCCAAATAATTCAACTTTCTGATAAAATAATTGTTATTGTATTAAACAATTAATATTGATATTAAAAGCCCACAGGTATCCATAATGAATTGTAAATCAACAATATTTCTCATTGATTGAACAGAATATGTTTGAAACATACTCTGGAGCCAGGTCTTGTTCTTGACTTCTTTTAACACACAGAGGGCTGTTTTTTCCCCCATGTTGAGGGCTATTGGAGCAGATGAGCCTGACAGGCAGCAGTGACAAAAAGAAAGAAGGGAGGAGAGGGGATCTGCATCGCTAATGTGCTGTGTGCAAACCATACAAAGTAACGCTAGCCTGGCCAGGGACTGAGACGCAGCCATTTGAAAAGCCCGAGGTAGAATACATGCTGCGCCACAAGACACTGTGCTGATTGATTACACACCGAGACTGCCCCATTTTCATAATTGAACATTTTTACTATTCATTGTTCAGGTTGTCTGTTCTTTATTAAATTGCTGTTTAATTTCCCTTGTTTTCTATGCTGCCCAAAGCGTAAACATGAATAATAACTTGGTATTGCATTCATAAGCAATTGATCGTTTTTTTTTGCTTTGTGTTGTAATTTTTTATTATTTTATTTAAAATTAATTTGTTCTAGAGAAAAAAATCTGAAGAAGAGAGTTGTGCAATACAATCTTGACTCTTGTCTTTAGAGCCCCGGAGGCTTCTTTAATCAACCAATTAAATCAAAATACATTGTTGCAAAAGGCAATTCCAACCGTGAGGGTTACTCAAATCTGTCAATTATTGTTTGTAAGGCTTTCATGTGTGTAAAATGTTCTTTTTTATCTCCCAGAATTTTGAGGTTTAGTTATGGTAAACTCCTGGTTTAAAGGTGCTGTATATAAGATGTTGGGTAAAAATGACTCTTTTTCCAAACCTATGTAGCCATGGGACACTGCCAAGACAAGTTAATACAAAAAATTATGGATTTTTTTAATGGTGCTTGATTTCGATGCATTCTAGGTAATGTGTAAAGTTTGGCACTTTACAGCTGCAACCGTTCCACTGTCTCTATCAATGTACTAACCTTGCCCTGCCCCGCTTAGCTTCTGAGGTCTGCCGGATCAGGCTTCCACATGCAGGTGGTGCCAAGTTTGGTTAAACGGTTTGCCACCAAAAACTGCACTGGGAGAAAATAAAAATACTCAAAGTGACAGGGAGTGTGGAGAGCCTGTATGCACATATGTATGCCCTGATGTGGAAAATTGTGCTTCTATTCTATACAGTGCAGGAGTGTTGTTGTTTGGAATAGGGGTGGGAACCTAAGGGTACCTCACGATACGATACGATACACGATACAACGCTCACGATAACGATATTATCACAATTACGATATCACGATAACGATTTTATCACAATATGACAATTATCGATATATTGGTCAGAAATATATAATATGCCAAGTATTGATACGAATAAAAAAAAAAAATTGTAACAAAAACATTTGCCAAGTATCGATATCGATACTTGGCAGATGCATATCGATAATCGCATCGCGGGAGAAACTATCGCGATATATTGGAAAAATTGATATATCGTCACACCCCTAGTTTGGAATGTGAAATCTTCCAAAATCATACATATTGCATCTTTAAACAACTTGTAGGGAAGACTGTTCAATGGACTGACATTTATTTTAGTGATAGCTGTGATTGATTCAGCTCTAGTAAGCACTGCTTTGAAATCCAAATATTTTCGGTGTGAAGCTGCCCTATAATCTTTGTTCGGTCCATTCTACGCTTGCCGACTTTATAGTGAGGTACATTTGCATGCACAATGTGGTGACTCAGTACATGCAGATAAGAGCGGGATAAAATCAGCAGATTAGGGTCCTCGTTATGCTCCGTGCACGTGTCGGGGCTGCGTTTTGTGTGTGTTGTGTTTACCATCCAGCGCGCTGACCCTGCTTTTGCTGATTGTAATTACAGATGCAAAGACCTTGAAAGAAAGCGGAGATAGAAGATATACAAGTTAAGTTTCTTAGATTTGAGGAACATACTTTTTTTTTCAGCTGTAGCTACTATGTAACTCTGTGCTGGGTCTGCCACCTGTGAAATGTATAATGGATGTACAAGGATTTCTTATTATGAAATGGTTTACTGAAATTTTTTGTTAATTTTATAAATATATTCATAAGAGTTTTTGGAAGGATTTTAAATATTGTAAGGTACTTGGATTCTAAGACAAAGCTATAGGATGTACTTTTTGCTCTAGCATTGACCCCATATGCACTTAGTTTAGTTAACCCCACAATTTAGTTAAAACATGAATTGGATGTATTATGTTTGCCATTAAATGGTAATGAGACCTTTTATTACTCCTTGCCATTTAACACATATCTCTGCCTGTAACTCACCAATGCTACTATCAGGGCAAAGAGTTTTAATATTTGGTAATGAGAGTTATGGAATAGGGTTACAAATACATTATATAGCTACAGGATTGAGACAACAGTTTTAAAACAGTGGGGGAGGAGTTGCATGTGGATGGTTCTGAAAACACCAAAACAAAAAAGGTATGTGTATATTTCCACAAAAGTATTCTCAAATTTATTTTATGTATTACCAAGAAAATACCTGTAAATTTATTCCCTTCTTTGACTAAATTTGGTTAAACTTGGGTATCTTCCTCCCTCATATCACCTACTGACAATACTGTGAGGAAAATGCACTGTCTCTAGAAATTAATCTTGCAAAAAACAATATAAATTTGAAAGTTGCTTCTTCCACCTTTGCTTGACTTTCTGTAGTCTTCTTGTTATGCTAAGGCACTTGTAGGGATTTGCACCCTCGGCGTATGTAAACTCTTAATTAGAGTCAGCAACTAGAAGCGATCCTCCCTGTTAGGGCAAAAAAGCATAATACACATCGTCATAAATAAGCCACTGTGCTAGAGCCGCCACGGGCATGAATATCTTCTCACAATTTATTTTTATATTATTTATTTATAAAACGTCTTCCTCATTAGCTCATGTTTCATTATCACAGGAAAGTCCGGCAATAAATAGTGTTTTGAAGGCATCAGTGTGTTGGAGATACACGGGGAATGCGCTTTGTTGTGCCATGTAAACAGTAGTGGGCTAATTCTCGACAGATTTGCGAATGTTGTCGTTGCTGTGGCTCTCGGTGCCGCCCCCCGTGGGATGTGTATTTTACTTGTGTGTTTAGAAGTTGAACTGTGTAAGCATACGGCACAGTCAGCATGTTTTGCCAGAGCAGCTGCAAGTGAGTTGTGATACTGACAACTGACCCAGAACTGTAAAGCAGCCTGCAGCGGGAAAGGCCAATGCCAAAGTTCAGCATCACACGTTTTCGTCGCATTTCCATTTTATATGCTTGTGCCCTATAGGGACGTGCTACAGTTGCTGTAATAAAACTATTTAATGCAAGCACTGGATTGCAACACAAAGTGGAATGGCTAACCTTCTCATAATGTCTGTATGCTGCAGTCACATTTATGGGTATTCGTCTTATTTGCACTATGAGTCACCCACTTTTACTTTTAACGTCTTTGGATTTATTTT